TATATATATATATATATATATATATATATATATATATATATATATATCTCAAGAAGTTAAAAAGCAATAAATTAAAGTTAGGATACAGAGCTAAATAGAGATTTGGCTAGAAGTTTTAAGCTCATAACTGTTGCTAGGCTTAGTGCCCTTGGCCTGTAATCCAATATACCTTTGCATAAGGCAAGTGTGTCTGAATTTAAATCCTGCCTGGATAATTGAGTGACACTTTGTCTAAATTCAAAAGTAAAATTAAAGGGTGGGATATAGCTTAGTGATAAGTTTCTGTGTGGGGCCCTAATTTCAGTTTACATTTCTGCAAACAAACAAACAACAAAAGCCCAGCACTGAATAAGATAAATGTGATTAGTTCAACTAAGATTTTTTTTTTTATATTTGCTATAAGCAAGCCTGTGTTGGTGCTATGAATGAATATATAAATGAAGCAGGTACTGTATAGCAGTCCTTTTGTTAGAGAAAAATTGTGTTAATCAAATAAAGGCAGACATAGTATTTAAATTAACAGGGTACTGGTTTATATTGACAACTTCATTTTATCTTTTCTGATTGACAGTTATTATTTGCATTCCTGACTTATTGGTCGTAGGTATATTTTTCTTTCTTTCTTTCTTTTTTTTTTTGTAAATCTGGGGAAGATTAATTATTATGTGATACTGGTTAGATTGACTCAGGCATATGAAATGTGGTGACTTTTTTATATCTTCATAGTCTGTTTATGTTTTCTAGTTAATTAAGTGATAATAGTTGTCTTCTTTTCAGTTCTGTAAATGTTTATTGAGTTCTTGTTAGGCACTATTTAAAGAACTTCAGAGAAGATAAAAATGAATACATTCGACAGGCTTATCTTCTGAAGAAATCCACAATTGATAAAAATAGCTATATAAAAATAATAGTTAATGAGCAGCCAGCTTGCTGTGTGCTAGTCATGGTATTAAAGGAGGATAATGTTTGTCATCATTTAATCTGTCAGCAGCCAGGCTACTCATATGTATATGTTTTTACTCTTTCAGTTAATCACCTAGGTTTCTTTCTGTTGTCACCCCTTATAAGAAACTCCTTTTCCAAACCTGTGAAAATAGCAGTTCAGGTCTCTCACAGCATTGCTGCCTGTGTTGTTCTGCTTTACTGTCGTAAATCTAATCATTCGCTTGCTTGTTTACTGTTTCCTTTTTTGAAAAAATAGTACTGATAAATTATAAATTGTAGAAGTTTGGGGTGGCTGAAGAACATGTAAGTTCTTGAAACTCTTAAGTATATTATACATGTATTATACATGTAGATATGAGCCGTTGAGTTCATGGGTTGGTCAGTTTGTACATTCTTTTTTTTAATTTTTATTAGTTATACTTTATTCACTTTGTATCCCCCCATAAGCCTCTCCCTCCTCCCCTCCTAATCCCACCTTCCCTCCCCTTCTTCACTCATTCCCCTCCCCAAGTCCACTGATAGGGGAGGTCCCCCTCTCCTTCCTTCTGATCTTAGTCTATCAGATCACATCAGGAGTGGCTGCATTGTCATCTTTTGTGGCCTGGTAAGGTGGGAGGTGATCAAAGAGCAGGCCAATCAGTTTTTGTCAGAGGCAGTCCCTCTTCCAATTACTATGGAACCCACTTGGATACTGAACTGCCATGGGCTACATCTGTGCAGGGGTTCTAGGTTATCTCCATGCATGGTACTTGTTTGGAGTATGTGTTCAAATTTTCTGGTTCTGTTGCTTTCCTTGTAGAGTTCCTGTCCTCACCAGATCTTACTATTTCCCACTTCTTTCATAAGATTCCATGCACTCTGCCCAACACCGTTTGTACATTCTTTTATTCAGTAAATGCGTTGATCATCTAGATTCCAGAAGACACTATTCATGGTGTGTGAAGAAGACAATGTACCTATCCCATTCTAATGAGGGAGAGAAATGTAAATAAAACTTAGTCTTACAAATATATCATATAATAGCCAAATTAATTTTTTCCAAGGTCTTTTTCTGTACCCTTTTATAAGCTATTCCCTGCTCCCCTTTTGTCCTGATCATTTTCTGTTCTGTTATCAGTGGTTTTGATATTACTCCTGAATCTGATCTTCAGTGGCTCTCCTGAGGCTTGCTGCTTCTGAGTAATTGTTGTATTGCTCGTGTTCCCTGAAGGGAATGACTCTGTCGTTTTCCTTTTCTGGGCTCCCTTTGTCTCTCAGCACAGCGCTAGACTTGGGAATCTTTTATTTTGCTTCTTTGTTTCTGCTTGTAAGAATGTTTCATATGCATATTAAAGATCCAGCCAATTCCAATCCGAATAGTATTTTTTAAAGGGGTCTTTATTGTAGATATAGTGGCTTATAGGATTAGCTTATGTTTATGTAATGTACTTCCCTTAGCAAAACTGCTTTTGAGACTTTAAATGAGTGCATCTCTGTGGAGATTATTAGTAAATACATCAACAAGGTCATCATAGGGATTTCATAGCAAGTTTAGAAAGATTGTTTTTCAATAAAATATTAAGATCAAATTTTAATGGGAGAACTGCTTGTGGCTAAATTTCCTTATAGTAAGATAACAAATTGTTTTCAGAAGTGCCTCAACATCGTGCTTGCTTTAGCTCCAGTCTCAGCTTTAATTCTGTATTATCAAAATGCTTGTGGTTAGACAGGAATCTCAAAGTATCTTCTTCAGGTACTTAGGTGATGGCTCATCAGGTAAGAGTACTTGTATGCAGGCATGAAGACCCACTTCAAATCTCTGTCACCACATAAAAAAACCTAGGAGTGGCCATTGATTACTGTAACCCTCAGCACTGTGCTTTAATTCCCTGCAAGACAGGATTAAAGCTTTCTGCATTCACTGAGAGACTCTGTCTCAAAGGAATAAGTTGGAAAGTGATAGAGTAATACACCTATGTTCTCTGGTCTCTGTGCTCGCACGTGTATGTAACACACATGTATTATAAACTAACAATTTTACACAGGTAAATAAATAAATAGAATAGAATTGTTAAAGAAACACCTCATCCATTTGTGTGTCTCCATTCCTGCCCCAAGTCTTGGTCAACCTTACTTTGAAGCTCCACTTAACATTACCTTTGCTACTTTATGTCTTTCCACCATTTTTGATTTTAATATCTGTGCTTATGCAAAGATTTTCAACGTTATCTACCATTTAATAATATCTTGATCTTATCCTTATTTACTAGTTAACTTTTCACTTATCAATCTGTCATACGTTGTAGATATTCACAAATTCTGCTTAAGTATTAATATACAGGGCAGGAAGGATGGTTCAGTTGATAAAGTGTTTGCTCTGTAAATGCAAGGACTTGAGTTCATTCCAAAGCCTAACTGTAAAACGTGAAATGTGCATCTGCTTGAAATCCCAGTGATTGGAGCCATATCACTGGGGCCTTGCTGGCTAGTCAGTCTGTCCAGTTATAACGGAGACCCCGTCATAAAGGAGGTGGGCTTCATTTCTGAGGATGATACAAAAGGTTGTCTTCTTGCCTCCAAACAAATGTTTATATTGTGCCCATGTGAAGACACACCTATACACACCCAAAATATTAATGCCTAAAATCATTGCTAAAATAATTTAAGAAAACTCCATGCAATACTCTACTCTCTGTCCATTTTAAAAATGTACATGCACACGGTGCTTTGTATTGAATGTTACTTGTTTTACTAAATCTGTACTGTAATGATTATGTTTACTTAATTTTTCCATAAAACTAGATATATTAGAATTTGTCAAGTTCTATATTCTTCTCAAAGCTAATTATGAAGACATTAATGTAAATGCTGATGGTTTCTTAAGTGATTACTAATCTTAAGTATTTGTTTTTTTTTTTAAATAGATAAATGAATGAAGTATTTGAATGGTCCTTTGAGACACTGAAGGCTGAAGGTAATGTCCAGTGAAGTTTTTCCATGGGCTTTATCTACTTGGACAAGCTTATTTTCAAGGCTGTGGGTTTACTACTTAAGTTCTTTCTTTATTGTTGTTTAACAGTTACTTTCTAACTCAAATGATATAGAATTGTAAGTAAAACAGAAAAAAAACCATGCCATCCACAAATACTTAATTCTAATTAGTTTATATTACACTTCTTTTTACATAGAAATGTGTTAAGCTTCTCAATAGTTTAAAACCTTCTTATTTTAAACCTTGTCCTTTCTTTAAGTATGCATATTGGCTCAAAAGCAGAAAATAAGAGTATATTTATAGTCATTATTAGCTTTACAACTTACTATAGGAGGGATAGAAATGCTTTCATTGGAAACATCCAAACTACAGGTGGCATTTAATAGCTTCAGATACACAAGTCCAGAATTCCAGGCAAGACACTTACAATAGACTTTTGTTGCTGCATTGTGTATAAAGAGCTATAGGGCTTGAGAGAGGCTTCTTAGACAAGAGGGGGCTGTAATTACTTTGCTTCTTACATGCATGGCTAGATCTTCCAGTGAGAATAACATGCTAGGGTAATTTATTATAGAAGAGTAAATCACAGATTACATTGGAGGGGGTTGAGGTGGTGTGATCCAACCATCAGTTTGTGAATACATACACTTAAGCATGTGTGATAGCTTGTTTTTAATTTCTGTACACCAGTGCACACCTCAAACGTTCCGTTTAGCAGTGGGATATGCAAATTGTTCCAAATGCAGCAGCAGTACTTTCACCTGAATGTCAAAACTGTCAGACAGCTTTAAATCAAATCTTTATAACATTTTAAAAACCATCCAGCCCCAAGACTGAGGCACCGAACTCTAAAACACTTGATTCCTGTACTTCCAAAAAGCTCTTGCAAGTCAACATAGTAATGTCAGAGTCCTAATTCACCTGCTTTCTAATTTTAACCTTTTAAGGATTTTATTTTATTTGACTTAATTACGATATTTTCTACAAATTAATGATAAATGCCTTGATTAATAAAACCAAATGTCAGGGAAAATGACAACTTGATGAAAAATTAATACTAGGCAATATTTTAAGGTACAGAGGTACTAAGGATTTATTCTTGAACCTCATATTTTATCGTCTGTTTCTTGAAGGTAGGTAACCAGAAATTTCTTTATAGGTTTCCACAACCATATGTATAGATGCATTAACAATATAATTTCAGCTTTTTATTATTAGTTATTATAAATAGAAATATATTCCTAAGTTATCACTTGTACTACCACATCATTCACTTTTTTCAGAAACAAAATATTTCATATTGTAGGATAGTGATAGAAATGAAGTTAGTACCCTGAGAATCCAACTAGTAATGTGTATATGTGTGTGTTTCAGAAATTCTCATGGTTTCAGATTTCTCATTTTTGACATTTGTTTAGTTATCACCATTCTGTCTAATGAATCACCAATTTAACTGGACTGACTGGCCAGAGAGCTCCATGACCCATCTGTCCCTGCCCGCCTAGCACTTGGGCCACAATGCATGCTTCCATGACTGTCTTTTGTGTTGGTGCCGGGGGTTTGTACCCAGTTACTTACGATTGCATAACAAACATTATACCAACAGAGCCATCTCTCTAGACCACAAGGACTTGGTTTTTTAAAGCATGTTTTAAGTTTTTCATGGAACTTAATAAATGTAAATGACTCTAATTTGCTTTTACTTATAGACTAGTTATTAGCTTAAAAACTAGGATAATAAATATGATTATATGATAAATATGATTATTCTTCTTTAGGTGATAGTCACAGGGTTGAAAGTTAAGCCATGCAATGTTTATTTTGAAATTTTTGTTTTGTTATAATTTGTTTTCATACTAGTATTTATTGTGCAATGAATATATTACCCCCTACCACTCAAACATTTCTGCCTTCTCTTTTTTTGTGCATTGAATGTATGGCAGGAGTCTACCGCAAAAGGCATCTGAAAGATTCTATCTAGCAGTGTTTCAAAGCAGACACTAAGACTCATAACCAAACCCTCGGCAGAGTGCGGGGAATCATATGAAAGAAGGGGAGTTAGTATGATATGGAAAGGAAAGGAGCTCTACAAGGACCAAATATATCCGGGCACAGGGTCTTTTCTGAGACTGACAATCAAGGACCATCTATGGATATAACCTAGAACTTCTGCTTGGATGTGGCCCGTGGTAGTTCAGTAACCAAGTAGTTTCCCAAAGTAAGGGGAACAAGGACTATTTCTAACAGGATCTCAAGGGCAGGCTCTTTGGATCTCCCCCCCCCCCCCCCCCGCCAGGGGAGGAGCAGTCCCTGTTAGGCCACAGAGGAGGACTTTGCAGCCAGCCCTGAAGTAACCTGATAAAACAGGGTCAAATCAGTGGACTTGGAAAGGGGCAGGGAGGAGACCAGGGAGGGAGTGTGGGATTGGGGAGGGAATGAGGGAGCGGGATACAGCTGGGACACAGAGTTAACAAAATATAACTAATAAGAAAAATAAAATTTAAAAAAAAAGAAATAAAAAAAGATTTATTTTATTATTTATACAACATTCTGCCTGCATACCAGATCTTACTATAGATGGTTATGAGCCACCATGTGGTTTCTGGGAATTGAATTCAGGACCTTTGGAAGAACAGCGAGTGCTCTTAACCTCTGAGCCATCTCTCCAGCCTGCCTTTTCTTTTCTTACCTGTTATATTTTTTTCTTTTATCCACTGTGGCAGCTGTACTTTCACTTTTTCATAAGTACTGTTTTGATTTTATGTTTCTTTATGAACCACACATGAAATTAGACATATAGAATTTGTCTTTCAGGCTATTTCACTTAAGTATCATTATCTCCATTTGCATTCATGTCCCTGTAAATATAAAAATTTTGAACTGTTTTCATGTATTTTTATTTTCATAAATTTAGGATTTTTATTGTTAACACTGGGATATTTGTTAAATGTTAAATAAAAATGGCATCATGCAGCATTAATGCATTGCTATAATTTTGCATTACAGATAAAGCTGCAAATCAAAAAAAGAAGCACACAGCAACCTCTCCTGTGTTGTGCTTTGATTGCTTGGGATACAAAGAACCACTCACTACATTGTTAGTGAAATGGGCTCACTTTGACCATCTGGTCATACCTATCAGCAGACTGCTAAAGTTAGAACCATTTGTATGTTCAGTAGAGACTGGAAGTTTTTAGATTGGTGATTTATGCTTTGTACAGTGGGGTAAATAGAGGTAAGCACTAATTAACACTATGCAAACACATTCCCAAGGGAAACATTCTTCAGCAAAGGATTCTGGGAACATTTGAAGTTGGAAGTGAATTCTGTTGACTCTTCCCTTACTTGGCTCCAGGTTTTATTATTTTTATGTAGGACTTGGTTCCAGGCATCTAGGCTCTACTGGCACAGCTGTTTGATGGGTAGAGGCCACCAATGTTGCTGCCCTCAGTGCATGCATATATATATATATATATATGTATATATATATATATATATATATATATATATACATATATATATATATATATATATACACACACACACACTGCCGTGTCTAAAAGCTCCATGAGCTGGTTACTCACGTCTCTGTAACTGTCTCTGAACCATCTAGTATCCTGAGGAGTTTGGGTTTTTTGTTTTGTTTTGTTTTGTTTTGTTGTTTTTTGTTTGATTGCAGAATGAAGCTCTCTTTATGTCTCATCTCCATACCTGTATTTCTCTGTAAGCAAAGTCATTCTTATTTCATGTGTCAGTAACTAACATATGCCCCAATTCCTTCACAGATTTTAACTTACATATTAAACAATGTGTTGTATCCTCTAATTTAATCTATTTATCCTTACATCAATTTATTTCTGCATATGAACCAACTCTGTTTTTCATTAGTTACAGGATTTGATAAGGACTTATGAAATGTATCACAATGTGTAAGATTATGGTTTTAGTTGAGATTCTGCATGTTTGGATTTTGTACTGTAAGAAATAGTTGTCTTTCCCGAAAAATCTGTGAACAAGTGAGCAAGACTGAAATCCAAAATAAGTTCTAAAAGTCTTTGCTTGATGTCACATTGTTTGAGCTTGGAAGAGAGGATGACTGGCTGAGCCTATGTGAACTGAATTTCAGGGAGCGGGGTCATGATGCTGTAAACCCGATGCTTGAATTAACACAAAATAATTAGCTGATTTTCTGTGAACAATCTGAATTTTAAGGAAAATTTAACAGAGACTCTCTCATCTACATTAAAAATATGCTATAAATAAATGGTGTGATGGGCAAAAACTATATAAATTCCCAGTTTTGAAACATATATGAGACATAATTTTTTTCTGAATGTCTTTTTAGCATCTTTTGGAATGGCATTTTCTATTTTAGCTTATACTGTAGTCTGTAAAATAAAATTACTTAGAACTTTTGTGTGGAAAGAATAATATGGCTTATGAAGTTCTGTTTTATATAAGTACTAGTTAGAATAAACAGGTTTTAGAAATGTGCCCCCCCAACCTATTTGTCTTCTTTGGAAACCTATATTTATTAACTGAAAAAAATGTCCATTATATACACTTTTATCTTAGTCTTTTGCTTTTGCTTTCAAGACAGTCTTATATAGACCATGCTGGCTTTTAATTTATGACAATCATCCTGCCTTTGTTTCATGAGTTTTGGTATTATAGTCACGATCCATTTGTGAGCCTTGAGTCATACTGTTAAGAAAGGAAGTGAAAGACATCAAGAAAAAAAATGTAGACTTTTTTTTTAACCAAAATTCTGCATTCATTCTTTCCCCTTAACTATCTACCATCTTTCAAAATGATCTGGTCTCCTTGGATTCCTTTAGTGTTGACAAGGTGTTTTTCATTTCTCTAATGAAGTGGGAAATAAATTAGCATGCTTTTGGGGTTATTTAGATTACTTACTGTAGTAATGTTCAACATGTCTTTGTAATACTCTTCAGCTCCTACCCCACAACTAATTAGTGACT